AATTGTAAGTAACTTTGCTCTGGTTTTTGTGTGGAAGGAGTAGGGGGGGAAGAAGTTGAAATTTAAAGAACTATGTTTTATTTATTAATTTCTTTTTTTTTACTTTTTCTTTTTTAAGATTTTATAATTTTAAGAAATTTGCATCCGATTTTTTCTTTGTTTTTAGAGGAGGAGGAGGGGGGGGATGGAAGAGGTTTGACACACATCATTTCAACTTTTTCTAAATATGAATGCAGGTATATTGTTTTAAGTGTAACATGTTACATTTATTTATATATATATATATATATGTGCTATACATATGTGTATTGTACATATATATACATGTATATATGTATAATATTTTAAAGTGGTTTATAAGGTATTAATAGGTAGGTACATCTCATTACAACTGGTAGCGATTTTAAATTAACATTTCTCATACGTCCAGGTGACATTTTCTGGTTTTCTTCTTTTCTTTTCATCAGAATTTGTTTTAAAAGTCGAAAATGAGTGATTTTCGATTAATGAAAATTTAAAAACTTTCTCTTTTTTTTTTTGGAAATCTTTTAGTCTCGGGCTTTTCATAGCTCTTAGTAGAAGATCCGGCTTGGCTAAAAAATATCGAACAACATTTTCGGATTTTGCAATGGAAGCAATATATAAAATTTTAACTTCATTCTTAATAAGAGAAACGCATCCTGAAACAATTACAATGAAAATGACTTGAAATAAAGTTATAACAGTCATAACAAAAACAAAAGAACAAAAAAAAGAGTCACATGTTGTAGTTAGGCAGGACCCATCATTAAATATTCCGCGCACCAAGTCGTCTAGTGCAACTATTCATTTACTTTCGTTATAAAATGGCCAAAGTTATAACTTAGTGTCTTGCAAAAGCATACCATGTAGGGGAGCAGGATTTGAAAAATAAACCGACTTGGTCCAAATTTGTCAACTCGCTATTATGGACCAATTTTCACCATGATGTGTTAGCAATTAGAAACTTTTGTTGTAAGAAAGCTTTTTTTTCGAAGGTACAGTTATACGGGAGAGAAAGTTCAAAAAATTTTGTACATCAATGAAGTAAATGAGAATGCTATTGATTAGTACAAATTGCCACTTTTTTCCCGGCTATTTCAAAATAAGATTTTATATGGGCAGTAGTCGCAAAGCTCCTCTTATCTAATCTATTGTCAATAGGGATCGGCCTTGGGTCAAACTATGCGATTATACCAAAATGCAATAAAATAGTTTAAATAATATTCCCCGTGATATAAGTCGAAAAATAGGTACATGGAGACGGGCAGCCATCAGATGGTTAGACAAAGGCGAATCCATTTACAAAATCATTCGAAATCTCTTCGTTTAATAAGAAATAGATCTTTATTAAGCCTTGCTAAGATATCCACGATACGTTAGCAAGCGCGTAATATGCATTTTCCGGTAAGACAATCTATGAACTTAAGTTCAGAAGTCGCCTGGTTTCAGTTTTCTATTTCCATATCCTAACAAATTCCTAACTTCGATCTTTAAAATTCATTTATGTGATTCATTTAAATGATCATATAAATCAAATTATACGGCAGTTAATATTTAAAATCTGAAGCTAAATAAAAATATGCAAATCCGGTAAGGGCTTTGCAAGCAAAAATGCCCATCCTCTAGTGGAAGAGCCCAAACATGACATGATCTTCACTAGTCCTTTCAAATAAAAATCTTAACTTATTTTTGCAATAAAATACCAAAACTTGCAAACCCTTATACAGATGGGGATATAAGGGGTCTTTTCTTCTTCTTCACTATTCCCCTCAACGATGGATCTCAATTTATGTTTGTAATAAAATACCAAAACTTGCAATATGAACGCTTATTTTCGAATTCTAATAGAGATGAGGTCCAAGAAATAGATCTACCCGGTCCAAGTTTACTGAAGCTAATTTTTGTATTTAATTGCGAAACAAGGTTATGATGTCTTTCTTGCTATACAAAAACTTATTTTTCATCAGAATCTGTACATGGGCTGGGTGGCAAAAAATTGATTTATGTGGTCCAATTTTTCCAGAGCTAATTTCTTTGTTCATTTGCCATTATGAACAAATTTTTAGCGTATGTTTTAATTTTTAATAAATTAAATTTTTTTCCGCTTGCATTTTTTCGTGGGTACCATTATTTGTGGCGGAATTTAAAAAATCGTCTCGTCCGATTTAAATTTTTTCACCTTTATTTTATTTTCTACCTTTTTTTTGTGGTGAAATATTACGAAGTGAAAATATTTTTTCATATAAACACTTTTTTTAAATAAGACTTTATATGAGCAATGATCATAAAGATGTACGGATCTCATCAATTTTTAACTGTGTTCATCCCTGGGTCAAAACAAGTCGCCTGTGCCGAATTTCGTTCGTCTTTGCGATTTATAGGTTAACCACAAAAATATCTGAACAATCGCTAGACAGACAGTTAGACAGATATCTAAATCGATTCAGAAAATTATGGACATATTATAAATCCTTCTGGTTGTTATGTACATTTACATTCATACATCCACGACTGAAGTAAATTTAATCAAAAAAGTTTTTAAATTTAATTTTTCAATTGCGTTAAAACCGACGTAAGGTTGGCACCTGGTAAGCAAAACAACTGCAAGTTAATAGTTTTATAATAATATTGTTTCGCTTTAGTGTAAGAACAAAAAAAAAATATATATATATATGCATACATACATACGTATATATATATATATATATATATATATTAAATAAGGATAAATATAATATAATAAATTAATCATTTCAGTTTGTTGTTTTTGTTTAACATTATTTCTAAAAATGCTTCACGTATCCGTTCATTAAAATGTTTGTGCGTTATACGTTAAATGCAATATTTTTCATTTTTGCTTTTGTGATGTAAACATTAAAACTAACATTGTTTTTAATTAATAAAATATTTTACAAATTAAGTACACGTGCATGTACGCATACAAGATGTCGATTTAATAACGTGATGTTTTTTTGGAGGAGAATTATAGATTAAAAAAAAAAAGTATATATATCTTTTTATGTATTTCTTTTTTTTTAAGATATCACTTGTAGTATAAGTATTTTTCGCTTCTTACTTAAAATTTAAAAAAAAAAAATAAAAGTTTCAATGTTTCATTGTAATTTATATATATATATATATGTATATAAGCAAATAAGTGCGCGTCTGAAAAATTTGACTCAATTCTCATTTGCGTTATTCAAGAAAAAAAAAAAATTTTTTTTTTTTTTTGAAATATTTTCAAAAATCGCTTAAGACTAATTGAAAAACAGAAAGGCGAGATTGCACTACAAAGCTCTCATAAGAAAAATAGTCAATGAACTCTGCGGATTTGGATGTTTTTTCTTGTTTTTTCCTTCTTTTTTTTTTTTTCTTTTTGCTTTTTTTTCTTCTTTCAATTCATATATTATCAGATAATTTTTCAAAGATTGTTGAACCAAAACTATCAGCAGGCCTAGAAACAAAACGGATTGTGAATTGTGTTTGAAAAGAAAAAAAGTTTTTACACAAAATTCTTTGCTAACCTGTACTTGTATTGAATTCATTTCGTAGCCTCCTTTGCTTTGCATTTGTGTTTGGATTGCATTTAAATGATTGGTGGAGAGTTCAACATCGGCCGAACCAATGTGTCCGGTATGAACGAAATTCGTTGGATTACCTATCATGGAACGATCGATACGCAGCCGTTGATGTCGTCGACGTGATGGCGATTGCGGCTGATGAAAACAACATGAAAACCATTGTAACCATATATCTCCAGTATTTGCCATTTTATTGCGTTTAGGATTTTTATTGTTCGCCACAGTCTCTCTGTTATTGTTCGCTTACGCTTTCTCAAAGGCTTCTTGGCTGTTAACGATATAAAGATTAATTTTAAAAATTATTTATTCTTCTTATTTTTTTTTTTTACTTTTGCGCAAATACTATACTACACAGTTGGGCGGGCAGACACTTGGACAGATGGACAGCTTAAAGTGCATTTCAATTTTATATCTGACCAAGAATTTATATACTGTATGGGGTTTTGGAAGCTTGTTTCTGCGTTTTTTAAAGGTATAGAAAAAAAAAAAAAAATTAAATTTTGATACCCTATAATGTTGGTCAATTTTTTTTCATTTTTGTGCAGATGTTACAGTATCGACCATGGAATGAATATACGATCAGATTTTTGTATATTTATCTGCTAGAGTTTATTATTAATAATGAGCAAAAAACTAATTTTTTATTCATTTTGAAAAATAGAGGTGCTCTCAGTTTGCATAGTATTGTGGGCATGTCCTTGGACTGATTTTGGTCCTATTTCAATACCAACCTGCGTGCAAGAACTATCAATCAATGTTTCTGCGAAACTTGAAATCGATAGCTAATTTTTAGGAAGAATGTTTACAACAGACGGATAGCCGGACATCGATTCAGAATTTGATGCTAATCTGGAATATGCTTTTTTAAGGTTTCTGAAGCGTTCTTTTGGGCGTTGCAAACGTTTTAACATAATGAATATACCGTCGTCCCTTCGGTGATGAGTATAACAGATATTTTTATATAAAAAAGAATGCGTAAAAATGGACTAAATATATTTGTATAAACAACTTGAAATAAAAACGTGATATAATTCAATAAAGTTTTCTACTTCCCTTGCCTTAATCTTAATTGCTATAATTTATTTATCTTAAAAAGAATAAATTCTTGAATTAAAGTAAGACACGAAGCACTAGCAGCTAAGAGTTTTGTCTCTTATCGCACATAATGTTACCATGTTGTTGTTTAACTTCAACTACCAGAACTATTTTTGGTTTTTTTTTTTGTGCTAAGCATTGTATTCGTCATCGATTATATCAAAGATAAATATCGCGGACAGGGGGTTCGAGATAATAAAAATGCATTTTTGGTATTTCCGATGATTGCGATGGCGATTACATTAAACCATGAAATGCGACACCTTTTGAATTTTAAAATTTATCGAGTCGTTAAATAAGCTTAGCAGACAAATCAATCAAGCGGAGCAAGAAGCAGTATAATGAAGTATGGAAAAGGTAGAATTTTTAATATCCTATATTGAGCTTCGAATTTAAGCAAACGTGTGCTATATGTTCACGACACTGTATCCACTATTTTTCGCTTGTAACATTCTTAAATGTCCGAATATGTGTAATAAGCAAATGAAAAGCTTTTCATAGTAAATGGTTTTAATTTTGCATAAGTTTGGTAATACTCCTCGGATCAAGGTGTACTTTGGCATTTATGAAAGATAAAAGTTCTTATATAATATAAAAGCAAGTAAAGACACCATAGTGGGCAAGGGACCACCACCATTTAGGATCCCATAATGTTTCGCTTAATACAGTTATAGTTATAACGGCTTCTCAAACTAAGCTCTTATATGGGAAATGATCGGAAAAGTCATCTCCGATTGGAACTATTTTCAAGCTCAAATTTCATCAAAATATCTCAAAGATTGTGATCTGTGACCGAAAGACAGACAAGCTTAGTTTTAAAGTGGAATAGACACATCGATAAAATTTGTTTTATGAAGAATTTTGCCAAGTGTGTACATAGAGGAAAAGCTCGGCCACTCCTACCACCCAGTGTTTGTTCCTTTGGCAAAAACATGTGTGATGTTTTGGGTCATCTACCCTACAGTCCGGGCCTTGCTACGTTCGATTAATTTTCATTTTGCTTTTTGTCTTGCTTTTATCAGGTTACTTTCAAAAGATGCGAAACGGAAATAAATCGATTTATTTTTATACTCTAGACCACTTATGGTACAGGTTATATTGAGTTAGTGCGGAGGTACTTAGCATGCGGAAGAGCTCTAGATAGACAGACTTTTTATTACACCGATCGATTCAGAATCATAATCTCAATTGATCTAAGTCTGTCCGTACGTCTGCCCGTCTGTCCATGTAAATTTGTGTTCCAGCTACACGTCGCAATATTTGAGATATTTTGATAAAATTTGATACAGGGTCATGTTTTGACTCAAGGATGAAAGCTATTGAATATGATTTGGATCGGTCCACTCTTTCGACCATACCCCATATAATGCCATATTCTGGAAAGTATTGCAATTTTTCATATTTCTCGGCAAAATTGGCTAAGGATTACTATTTCGGCATTCTAAATTGTTATGAAAACTTTGGACCAGCTGAGGCAATTTTCGAACCCCCTCTCATACAACGAACGAAAGCTGGAGTTCAGACGGCAAAAAAGACAATTTCCAATGCTTCAAGAAGAAAATTATATCATAAAAGTAATTTAATTTAAAAAAATTAACTGCACCAAATCTGGATCACCTCAGCCTATTTTTTGGCTCCTACCCTAATAAGGAATTTCACGAGATTTGATTCTCTGTAGAGCAAAAAAAATCTAAGCTTTAATATGTGATGATGCAATGGCCCATAATACTAATTTCATATAAAAATAACAATTAACTAGTCTAGGGCATCTATGGTCGGCCTTGCCCGACTGTAATGGTCTTACTTGTTTTTGTGTATTGCCAGAAAGGCAAAATTTTACCGATCAAAACCATAAGTATTTAGTTTAATAAAATTGTTTAAAAATATATACTTTCCAAGTCGTTCTGTCGGTCCGTCGTCAATCGTCATAGTGTTGCACGACAGAAAGCTGAAGTTCGATGTTTAGGGACTTATTATGGCTTTGTAATTGGTCGCAAGTCATAAAAGAAGACGATATATATTCTCGTTATAGATCGTTTTAACTTCTTGATCATCAAGATGAACCTATAACAGCTTTTTGTTTTTACCTTTTGCAGCAGTCGAGCTATTTTGCCACAGCTCACACTCAGCTCGCTGCGCCCATCCTATATTTCCGCGAATGACGCTTGGCTATGAATATTCAACTTTACGGTATCGCTGTAATACTACGTTGTAGGCCTTTAAGAGAGATAACTTATACGGTTGCATAAAAGGTAAAGGCAATATTTTAAGATGGCAAAGACGCAATTTTATTCAGACGGCTGATTCAATGTTCATGTATACACACACACACACACACAAGTTAGAGAGAGAAAAAATGCAGTCATACGATAGGATTACAATTAAAACAATTCAAGTCGAAAAGATCATTTTAGTTATGATTAAGTTAAGCAATTCAAGACGTAAAAATTACATTGTTTATAAAAACATGCACTATTATGATTATCTAGAAGTTGTTTTTTTTTTTTTTTTTGATTGTTGTTTGACGCACATATATTTATTTATTTATAAAGTTTGCGGTTTCAGCCATTCAATATAATCACTAAAGAACATTCATTGCACTCGACAATCAATTCACCGATTTCTTCATTATCATCATCATTTTTAGCAGCATAGCCGCCACCACTGCCACCACCGCCTTCATCAGCATCATCATCATTATTATTCTGTGTGCGAGGAGCTGCGTCATCGTTGTTCTGTTTGCGAAAGAATTGTTCAGCTGAATCATCATCAATAATATACTGACCACCACAACGGCAATCGTACGCATAATAATTACAATAATAATCATCAGGCAATAACAAGTCGTTCGTGTCAATGTTTCTCGTTTTATGATGATAAGTTCTCTTCATATCATTCAATGTAATTGTTGCATAAGTATTGTTATGCGTATGAAATTTACTTAGCATTAATTGAGCATCATATTCCTTACGCTTGATAGGATCTTTAAGGCAATTCCATGCTTCAGTTATGTCTACAAATTCTTTCGTAGATCGTTCATTTGCAATATTATCCAAGACAACTAAATCATCTTCCTGCTGATGTTGGATTAACTTATCGGGATGATATTGAAGTATTAATTGTTTATAATTTGTCTTCAGCTCATCGATAGTTGAGTTCGGACTGGCATTTAAGATATCGTAATAGGTACGAGTTGTTGTCATATCGCTTCAAAAAAAATTTCACTGCAACTTTTTGTAATTAATCTGCAATATATAAATAATTAAAATGTTTACATAATTAAATTTAATTTTGTAAAAATGCATTCATGTACTTACTTAAGTTTATAAATATTAAAGCATTCTTGGGAGAAAATATTTTTTTTTTTTATTTTTTATATATATGTATGACATCATGAAATTGCATGGAAAACACAAATACTTTCGAATATTTTTGCGCCACATCTTTTTTTTTTTTTTCTTTTTTTTCTGCATTTAATTTAAAAGAGTTACGTATATAATGAGTACACGAAGATGTTGGGAAAAATTTATTAGCTAAATGTGCGAGTGTTGATATTTTCAAGCATTTATTTTTGTTATGATTTTTTTTTGTTTTTTTTTTAGGGGATCACGTACTAGATTTTATTGCTTTTCGGCTAGCTGAAGACGATCACGTAAAATTAAAGGGAATTATCATAGAAAGTGTTGAGTTAATTTTATATAGATCAACGCAAGATTGTGTTGTATTAATAGGTGTATAAATAAATTTCTTACGCTTTTTTATCAAATTCAATTTAGGACGAAACGAAATATTCGTCGACATCATCTACAGGTCTTTCGCCATTTAGCGGATAGCTTATGGAGTTGAAATAGCTTTCGATTCATTCTCGCACATCTTCAACTTTTATGAATCGATGGCAGGCTAAATATGACTGGACAATACCACGGGATGCATTAAAACTTCTCAGCCTAAATGGATTGGTTTTTCTGAAGAGGGACGGACTTATGGAAATTTCAAATGCATTCTCAACTTGTTACGTAGCTTAATAATTGAAAAATGCATCAACATTATCCATAGTCTCTCGGCATCTAGCGAGTAGCTTATGGTTGTGAAATAGTCATCGTTGCACATCTTCAACTTCGTTGGACCGCTGACAGACGGTCGACTAAGTACAACTGCATCAGTTTGAGTAAGTTTCCCAGCGTAAATGCATTACCTTTTCTGAAGACGGACGGACATATGCAAATTTCATATGCATTCCATTTTATCATAAAATTCAACTTCCTCCCAAGTTTAATAATTAAAATATACACCAATATTATCCATGGTCTTTCGGCATCTAGCGAGTAGCTTATGGAGTTGCAATAGCCATGAATTCGTTTTCGCACATCTTCAATTTCTATGAACCGCTGGCAGGCTAAATATCGCTGCATAAATCTGAATGAATGGTAACCGGGAGGGGTCATGTCTGGAGAATACCGTGAGGTGCAATAAAGCTTTCCTGCCTAACTGGATTGCTTTTTCTGAAGGCGGAGGGACATATGCAAATTATAAGTCCAAAAAAATTTTACCCGATATCTTGTCAATCACTTTCTAACGGTCTCGTAACTCATTGCATTTTCACATCAAGCTTAATTTAATCATCCCCGTAGCTTTAAGTGAATTGTTTTTCAGGTTAACTCAGCTAAAAAAGCAGTGCCGTCAATGACAGTTTGTAAATAACTGAAACTTACATCGTGAAAACATCAATGCCTATGTTATCTATATCTGAAATTTCGAGTTCTGTTACGAAGTAACCAATTTTAGCGGAAAGAATTAATTTGTACACCAAATAGATAGAAAATTTGACGCCAGATGCTCCACATATTCGATCTAATTAAGATTTTGAGCTCATGCTCTGCTTTTCGAAATTTTGTGGTCGTAAAATCCAAAATGGAAAGTTGAAATTTGCCGCTTTGATGTTAGCTCACTTTTAAGGTATTAAGTGTGCAACAACGAAAGTTGAAAAGGGGCGGAGAATTCACATGCATAGAATTCACGTACGCCTATAATTAAGGAAACACCCTTTCCACTGTTCAGCTACTGTTGTACTACTGCCCACTCAATGTAACGGAAATGTATACACCACTTGGGGTACAGGGTATATTAACTTAGCGCGATCGTATGTAACATGCAGAAGGGCTTAAGATGGACCCACGTTTTATTATATCGATCGATTAAAAATCATTATTTGAACTGATCTAAGCCTGCCTGTCCGTCTGTGTAGGCAAATTTTTTTTCAAGCTATAGGTCGCTTTTTTGGAGATATTTTGATTACATTTAGCACGGTGACGTGTTTTCGCTCGGTCTATTCGGTCCACTTTTTCGACCACTTCCCATAAAACGCCCTATTCTAAAAAAGGCATTATATGGGAAAAAATTGTAATTTTTAAAATTCCTCGGCAAAAGCGACTAAGTATTAATATTTCGGCATTCTACATTAAAATGAAAACTTTTGACCTGCTGGATCCCCTTCTCATAAAGTGAAAACTAATGTTCTTACGACAAAAAAGTCTAATTTTCAATGCTTTAGGATAAAAGTAATATCACAATAGTAATTTAATATAACCAAATTAACTATTCCAAATTTGGACCAACTCGGCCTATTTTCTGGAGTATTTTCACGAAAATTGATGCTTTTTAGAGCAGAAAAATCTAAGTTTTAATATGTGATGACTGATCCATAATAGTAATATCATACAAAAATGGCCTCTTCAAAATTCGGACCATCTACGCTTATTTTTGGATTCTGCCCTATGTAAGAACTAAACTTGTACTACATTAGGTTGCGTTTTGAGCCTCTTTTTCCCGAACTATGCTCACGAAAAATATGCTTTTATATAGACATACAAACATTTTTTGTCTTCTGCAATAAAGATAACAATTGTGCGAGACAATGTGGTGTAGGGTATTGAAAGGTCGACCTTGCCCGACTATAATGTTCTTACTTGTTTTTGAGTAGGTTGGTGTGACTGTTGTGAACAAGTGATTCAAATTTCGAGGCACGTGCCTTTTTGACTAACAGACACGTCTTCGACTACCTCGCGACCTTTGTTCAATGATTTGCTCTGCTTAAAAACTTCTGAACTTGATAAACACTCACTACCGTATCTAATTTTGTAAGAGCTTTAATTCATTTCATTTCATTTTGAAGGCAAATTCTTTGTTCAACAGATTTTTCTATTTTAAAGTTCGCTAATAACAAAATTGTTTAAACAAGAAACAAGATGCTATTACTAACCCACCTGGCTGCAAGTCTTGAAATTCATGTCAGCTGTTCACAACATTCATATCAACTTATTAAAAAAATATACCTATCGATATCATGGCGCGGATATTTTCAAAAAAGTACAGTCTCAGGGGATTCTAATCTGATTTCTTGATATTGATTACGCAACTTGCTTGCCCGTGATTAATAAAAAGTCCACTGATGAGAGTTGAGAGTGTAATATATTAGACCTAATCTGCTCTGTTCCTATTTAAGGTCCTTTATCTATATTTTTGACATTACTCGGCCAATATTTTTTTTAATATTGAGATGGTAGTGTGCAATATATAATGGAACGAATATATAAGTAAGGTCCAGGTTAGGCTATTGTGCGACTGTTTGACAAAGATGGAAGTGCAGTCTGTGTTTTTTTTTTTTTTTTTAGAGAAGAATATATATGGTTAGGCCGTACAAAAAGTTCCCGCGGTTTCGACTTTCTTTTTGAAGGCTGCTCTTTTTAAATGATTCCAAACTGTTGTAGGGTTGATGTTTAGTGCTTGCGCTATTCCTGATAGCTTGCAAGCCAATTGCAGAAATTTATCGACCTTTCTGCCACAGCGAAAGGCATCTTTAACATTAAAATTTCCGGAGTGGAATCGAGCAAACCACGCCTCGGTCCTTCGTTTTATCAAAACGCTTCGTCATGAAGCATTTATGTCACGAGTGTTTTTCTATTTTCTTGTCAAGGACTTGCAAGAAACGTAAGAAGAATCTGGTCGCTATTCCTTAGAAGGTTTTGAAGAAAATTTCGAACAAAAAAATCACGTTATTTTTTCGAACCATCTCTTTAGTGAGTGTAAAACAATATAAAGTTTATATTTATCTATAGCGTTTGCGTAATTGTGGTTAAGATTTATTTTTTTTTGGTTGACATTATATCGCGAAAAGAACATTTTCTAAATAATTTATAATTTTATATCAAGTAAACAAAATTTTCAGAGCTTAATACAAGCAAAAGAAACCTGTATCAGTTTTTGACGGACCCGCTAGTAGATGCGGAAAGAAAGCTAAAGAGCTTTAAAAAAAATTCATTTCCGGGACACCTGCTGTTTCCAATGCAAATGCTTATATATATATATGTATAATGAAGAAAATTGGATCGTTTAGCATGCTGGCTTGGAACAAAAAAAAAAATAAATGACAACTTGCAAACATAACGGAAAAAGACTTTCTTGTGACCTGTATGCATTCAATGAACAGGAGATGCATTGTGACCCAATTTTATAACATTCAAGTATCTAACATAAGTTAAACAATAAATGTTAATAAAGCTACCCATCAAGCTAAGACTGATATTTAAAATATTTAATTGCAGACCTTGTTAGAAGATGACAGAGCTGAAAATAGCTCAAAAAAAAAACACAGCAACAACAGGAAGCGAATAAATTATTTAAAAAAAGAAGGCATCAAAAAGAACATGAACCAAGCCTTTTTTTAAGAGCTTTTCTTTCATTAAATATAAACGAGGCACTAAATGCATAATAATATAGTGAATTGCAGAACTTTGCCGAACCGCTTTATATTCTTTTTTAGACTAGTTCCTTATTTCTTTCTTTTTATATTCATATTTTGACGGTAATAGGGAGGAGTTTGTGTTAATAAACATCTCTAATCACAAGCACACATATACTTGCCTTTTTTGGAAATGGAAGATCAGGCGACAGCAGCAGCATATATATATATATATAAAAAAAAAAAAACAACAAACTTAACAATCAAAGTGTTGCTCCTTCATTTGAACAATTAATGTAATTGAATTTTTCATATTACTTTCAATTTTATTATTTGCATACGAATTTCAAATTAAATTAAAAGTATGAATTGATGAATTAATTATTTTTCCAACTAAAAACTTCTTCACACTTAAAATACAACCTTACTATGAATTGAAGAACAACTACACTAAAACATAAATATAACAATGTTGCCAACAGCAAGCATATACGTCGAAATTAAGTTCAAGATTACCTCTAAAGAGTAAAAGCTACAAATGCCTGTTAAAAGCTATAGGAATAATTTATATTAAAAAGAGTGAAAATAGCAAACCGTTACGTTTGCTAACATATCTAATTTATAAGGTTTGTCTATATGTCCACCACTGAAACTAGGTGCCTTCTCGATTTGTTCTTGATTTACATGTATGCATTAGAAGTTAACATAAGATTCGAAACTAAAAATTACTGAAGGAATGTCCATTACATTCCCCTGGCTTGAAAGGATGATATTTTTGCTTAATAATTACTATTGCTGAAATTAAAACAATCCATAGGTATATCAAATATACAGCTTTGTTGAATTTAGCAAGGGAAATGACAACGGGCTTGAAGCGCCTGAGGTATTAACTATAAAATATTACAACTACTAAAATATTTTATAAAGAAAAAGTATACATATATATACTAAAATGTAGGAAATTAGTTTTTTCTTATAATGTACAAAGCAAAGAAGATTAACATGTTGACACTTTCAAATGCCCTGTAAAGCCTATACATTCTTGATCAGGCATGCCTGTGTTTCTATCCATCTATTTGAACATTGAACATTTTTTTATGTAGGTTGACTTTAAAAATGGAACAAAAGTTGATCAAAAAGGTCTTCACCTGTATAAGTCTTTTGCTCATTTCTGCAAGACATACAATAAAAATGAAAAGCAAATGCGTCAATACAGAAAAAGGCGAAAGATTTAATGAAGAACTGAAGGGAAGCTGGATTACTTAGATGAAGGATTTATTATGAATTTCATTGAAATTTAATTGCTTTTGTTTTTATTCGTTTTATGTTAAAGAGTATGGTAGACATAAAAGATACGAAAGACACGATATGTGTCGTTTCCTGACTGAATCGGCGTTAAAAAAAAAAAACATAGTTTCCGCTTAAAGTACGCCCAACACTATTGGTTTGATGAAAAAGTACCGTTAGCCCACAAATTTTATTAAGATTAAGGTATATCAGTATACAATAGTACCAATTAACCCCTTTATGGCTTGTCTTGTGAACGTGACAGCCAACATATAATGGAGGCAAAATTTGTTTTCGCCCTATTAATGTAACTTAAGAATTATTGACCATATTACTTGATCGTAATAATCCACGTATATCATTGGGTATTCAATGCGTGTGTATTTATATGAATAATAGCATTATAAAAATAAAACATTCTGATAAGGCAAATGTTGCCCCTATGATCGAAACGTAGGAAAATAATATATGTGGAAAAGAAAAGTATTTTAATGACCCAATTTCATCACACTGGCACAGAGAAATATTTTATTTTGTATGCAACACTGTGCAAATATTATTTTCACTTTTTGTTTTAGTCTTGTTAACATTTAAGAGAAGATAAAAAAATAACTGCAAATAATCATTTTTACACAGCACTGTGAATCTTCTGCTGTTGCTTTGCTGAGTTCCACTAGAAGAAGAAGAAGTAGAATATAAAAAGAAAATGTAAATAAGCGCTGAGCGGGTTTTGTACGCTGAAAAGAAATTTTTTAAATATTGTATATCTTATTGGCTTGGTCCATCTTAACTCAACATCTAGAAAAACAAATATTATATAAATTAAAATGTTTCAAACTACTTGCTTCGATTTGTGGTGTAAAGAAAAAATATCTTGCACAATTGTTACACTTGTTAAGGAGCTGGATATACATTTAGAAGGTGGCCTGCCGTTAGGGCTAATTACTGAATTATGCGGAGCTTCTGGTACCGGAAAAACTCAGTTTTGGTAACTTTTTAAAATAACGCTTATTTTTTAAGAAGTTTTAGAAATTTTCAATAAATTTAATTATAATAACACTGATCTAAATTGTTTGAAGGCCATGGATGCTACGAAGCGATTGTAAACTCTAAGCTTTTTTTTATTATCTTTTTTTAGTTTGCAGCTCTGTATTAATGTACAGTTTCCTTTGACAGTAGGTGGGTTGGAAGGAAAAGCTTTGTTTATTGACACAAATGGAGGATTTTCTCCATTCAGATTAAGAGGTAATGATGAAAAACGGTAAATTTTGCAAAGACCATTTATATGACGTATATGTTTTTCATTTTGCAGAAATTGCTGAAGGTATGGAGCGTTGTTTTCAGCAGTTTAATGCTGAAAAATTACTGAAAAACATATCTTATGTAGATTGTTCCAACTATACGGAATTGATGATAGCTGTATCAAATTTAAGGAACACTTTATTAGAAGATCAAAAGGTTTGATAATTAAAACTAATTTTAATTATCTGTATCTCACTACAGAACTTATTTTCTTGTATTTCTCACAGCTTAAATTAATCGTAATAGATTCGTTTTCATTTCTTTTACGTTTCTTAGAGGACATCAGGCTGCGCTCGCGCATAGGTTATGAAATACTTTCCGATTTACAAAGTTTAGCTTTGAAATTTAACGTGGCTGTAAGTACATTGTAAATTTAATCATTTACACAATTTGTGATAATTGTATGAATTAGATTGTTATTACTAACGAATTGACTACACGATACGTGGATGAAGAGTGGTATATCACACCAGCCCTAGGTGAAACCCATTCCCATAAAATCAATCAACGTTTAATGTTTAGAAAAGAATTCGATACGGGACGTCATGTTATTACCACAGACAAATCACTAATATGTGGAAAAGTTTCTATACCTTTCGAGGTACATGCTGCTACACACATATGCATATTTATTGTTGCGATATTTTAATTTTTTATTTTTGTAATTTTAGATCAAATACAGTGGAGTACGTGGAGTACCGGAAATTAATTGAGTTAAATAGCATTAGTTTCAGGAGTTGTTCTACATTTAAATATTATTTTGGAATCATTTGTAAATTTTTCCAAAGAGTACCACGACCAACACTAAGAGATTCTCGATGTAAAATTTGGTAAAGCATGGCAAGAAGGGAAGTATTTGTTGACATTATCTGGTTAAACAAATGAATCTCAGTTAAATTGATAAATGTTTCTGATAAGGCATTTTTTCTTCTTCTTCTTTTTGTTTACTTCTTTACTTTGACAGTTTGTTAACGGCCGATCTTTAACAGAAAATGCGCTCTTTGAGAAAAAATTTGTTAACAGAAAAAGCGCTCATTATTGAAAAATTTGTTAGCAGAAATTTTTCTCCTTAACGGCTTTAGCAAAAAATGTTCAATCAATATATGATTTGAAAGAATACTTTTCGTCTTCTTCTTTCTGATTACTTTTACTTGCGTTGCAAGCAAGAAGAAGAAGCGCCATATTCACTTGAGACCTGTTTTTCGTATCTTTTTAAATGAATGTAAACAAATCACGAGCTAATTGGCATTAAGCATTTAAATGGTTCCAGAAACAAGTTGTAGCAAATATTCGGTTCATAAGCTTCCTTGTTCGTGTACAAGTTGCGAAAGTAAAGTAAATTTCAATCGCAAAATATTCGAAAAACTTTCAAGAAAAATGTTGAATATAATTGGTTGATGAAAGCTGCCAGGTCAAGGATAAACATGATAAATTGAAGATTACAACATGCATCTTAAAAAAATACTTTCTGGATCAGTAAAAAATTTATCATACAGACTCAATATTTGAAGCAGAAATAGACGATCCCAATGTACTGCTGATCGGGACGGGCAGGACAGCCTTGTCAAAGTCGTTTGAAAATTTGATGTTGGTCAAAAGGCTGTTACAAGCTTTTATTAGTTTATCAAAATTTGATGTTGGTCCAGAGGCTGTTACAAGCTTTTGATGGTATAAATATTCCTTTTCGCTAAACTCCGTTGGTATAAAGCTATACATATTTTACATAATCTTATAAATTTGTCGACTAATTATAAAATAACAAGCCATTGTTGTTGAAATTGTTTTTTTGGCGCAAAACAAATGAAGTTTTATTTTATATTATTTGCTGACGCTCCAAGAGCCTCGATAAATGCTTTATTATTCTCAATGTACAACCCAACAATCAGTGAATGTGGTGGCACACATCGATCTAAAAGTGATGTTCTATATTATTTATTACATTTATCTTATCTTATAGTTTAAACTAATTATGCTTAAGTAAAAAAAAAGTTTAAAATTATGTCTCGTTAAACAAATTGTATTGTACAGCCTCTCTATAAGCAGATGCAATTTATTAATAAGTAAATAATGCAACAACAACATCGCTACATTGCTCATTGCAATACTTTATCTATTTTGCTAGAGAGTTTTCCGGCTCTTTTTTCTTTTTATTGAAATTTTTTGCAAATTAATGACGTCTTCTTCCTAAAACTCTCCTAATGCTCTTCAATGATTCATTCAGATCACACACAATGCAATGAAAAGTAATTCAATTCTCGGATGGTGTTTTGAATGAATGCTTTTACTTTGTATTACCAATGATTCAAAGCAAATATCAATAAAAATGATTTGTTATTTATTTTGATGTTATTATATCACACGATCGTAAATAAAATTTATTTAATGAAGCCTAGCCAATGCTGCGAATTTCGAAACTATGAGTAAACCGATCTTATTTAACATGATTTTCATGTTTTTATCATAATAATAAATATTTTATTGTCTTTAATGTTCAATTAAGATTTCCCATAAGTGAAAAAAGTGAAAAACTGCTGAAATGACTTAAAAGGGGGTTTGTCATGTTAAAATTAAAATGCGAAAAGTTAGGATAATCCATTGAGTTTATTATGGTTAAGCTTTTCATATTGGAGCTCTTATTAAAACTTTTAAAGCATGTGGGCCAAAGATCATCTTTAAATATCCCGCCCTACCCTACAGTTCTTTTTGCAGTTTTTCCAAAATAAGGTTTCATATGGGACAGAAGTCGAGAAAATAGTCTGATCCAAACCATTTTTAATAGTGTTGGGTCCAGACGTGCCAGCGTTGCATCAAAACATCTTAAAAATTACGGCCTGTATGTTGAAGAAAACAAAATGAACAGAGAAGCTCGGATCGATTCAATGAATGATTTCTTTATGGATCAATATAATAAAAAATGCGTCTATTCTAAGTCCTTCTAAGTATTGCATGCATCCGCACAAGCTATAGGACATAAAACTCGACATCGCTTATTGCAATTTTCTTTTTAGCTACGAAGCAAAATTTTTGGTCACATAAGATTACGATGTTGTCATTTCGATTTTATAACTTTTATTACAAAATGAATATACTCCCAGTGGTGTAAAGTACAAAAAGTAGACGAACTTCTTCAACTTCAATTTTCAAATTCATTGTAAATATTTCAGTGGTGCGTTGCTTTCATTTTTGTACTTTGAAACAAAAGGGTGAAAGGTTGTCAAATGCTTGTGGCGTTTAGAAATATGCCATTGTTATACCTTGGTGATTCGTTTATTAAAAAGAAACATCCCTGCTTTTCAATTGCAATAACGCATTTACTTTTTTATATTATCTAGATATATAAATTTCGATCCATCAGAGTTTGGTAAATTTGATAATTTTTTAAACTAACTTATTATATTTTAATTATGCATAATTCTTTACAAAAATTCCTTTAGATATTTAGAGCACAGTTTTAATAGGAAAATTTACATGCATTTATGTAGGTTTTCTAGTAAGAATTTTTAAGTGCTATATAAACAAAACGAATGTTCAATATTTAGTACTAACATCACAAGTGGCGTGTGCATAAGTATTAGTAGAAACAAGTTTTTTGCATTAGCATTACTTCAGCAGAGGAACATTGACGTAATTAAGTTTCAAATGCTCACTCAGAGTTGTGAATTTTTCATCTCTTTCTTGCATATATGTTATTTTATTGACTCGTTTTGCCGGCACAAACATATTCATCCATACATGCATTTTAATTCGTATAAAATGCTCGCACCGCAGAGACGCTATGCTATGTATTTACTCTCATTCCTCTCTTTACCTGCTAGACTGTGTCAATTTTAAATAAAAAATCATTGCATGAGAGAATAATTTTCAGTTTCAAATTAACAATTACTGTGTATACTGTCGTTTTTTTTATATTTTATTATTAATTTACTGGTAAATAATTTTTTTTAACCTTTTATTGTATTTGTGTTTAAGTAAAAAAGAAAAAAAAATAACAATTGTGGTTTCTTACTTGCTTCTTTCTACTTTGTGAATATTTTGTGTGGGATATAAGAAAAATGGAAAAAAGTGATGTTTGACATATAAAAATTTCGCTCTGCACCTAAAATTACTTAAGTTTTGGGTGCGGTTAAAGAATAATACAAAAGTAAAATGAAATTATTAAAGTCTCAAGTGTATTTTCATAAAACTTAAGTAATCATCAAAATTAATATTGAGAAAAAAAAAAATTATTATGGAATTCTGCAAAATATTGTATTAAAGAGAAATTGAATTTTTTCAAAAATCAAAAATCCTTTTTAATCATTTGTCAATACAATGTATTTTGGCATCAATTAAGTTTCAAACAGACACATATATTTTTGCGAAATTTCATATAACAACTAAAATGAGATGACATCATCACATGAATAGCAATTTTATCTGAAAACAATTTCAACATATTGTGTGTAGAGAATAATAAAGGCAAAATTTTTTTTTGTTTTTTTAAATGTTTAACAACCCAGTATGGGCTAATTTATTAGTCACTTGCAAATTTAGTGAATAATACCTTTTCAATTTGAAACGTGTTTGCCAGAAATATTCGCGTTACTCTCAAAGAATTTAAGTTTTAAAAATGACCTCGCTGTTGTACTTTTAACCTATTGTATACACCAGTGAAAAATAAAAGCGCACAAAATTTGTTCTTTTATTTGTTAAGCCGAGAAGAATACATTTATCGATTGATTAGTCCGTCCATCCGTCTATTCTCGTCTACAGTTGAAACATTCAAATCGCGGTAACTGAGAAAGGAATTTGGGACTTAATAAATAGTGGGTACGAATGGGCGGGATATGTATTTAAACAAGTGAAAACTCAAGTTGACTACTTATTACCAATGTTTGTTTGCAACTTTGTATAAATATTTCTATTTATTAGTCAAGGGTATCCGTCCAAAATTAATAAAATAGTTTGCAATTCTTGGTGATGGGCATAGAAGGTACGTCACTATCCGTATATAGGAGCGCATTATACGCTATTACTGTCTCACTTGAGTTGTGTAGTAAGTGAAACTTTTGCCGTCATCTTAATAATATTTACTCGTGTCTCATTTCAGACAATTTATTTTGATTTTCTGATAAGATTAAATCAAATTCCACTTTTTTCCCAAAAAAAAAAATGTTTTGCCCAAAGAGAACAATTATTCCAACAGTAAACATAGGTTATCTCTATCTCTTTAAACGTCGATATACGTCGTGTGTACAAGACTTACGAAAACATCTGCTTTATATATACAGAAACAAGAAGAAGATCTTCACTTTCAATTTGATCCTCATTCTGATCATTAATGTTCTACTAATTACATCAAATTTTTGAACCAGTTTTACCGGCGTTTCATGACAGCAAGCGTTGATCGTAATCCAGTGAATTGTTTTGAGACACTTACGTCATTTTGCATTTTTGGAAGTTATCCAAACATATTCTTGGGCAAGACATCTAATACAATAGAGTTCGTTATCTTGTTGTTTATTATTATATAACGTTGTTCGCCTCAAATTGTAAAAGATCTTCTTAAATAAATAGATGGAAAGTAAGAAGTTCATATCAAATTAAGTAAAAAGTATGTATCCGCCGTGAGGGGTATATTTAATTAACCACCATCTCAAACTTCTGAACTATGATTGCATAAGATTATAAGATTTTATGTTTACTATGATGTCGTTTGCAGTTCGCACTTTGCTTTATAAGCTATGTAGTTTTTCTATATTGCGGACGAGGACGAACTTCATTTATTCACTATTGTCTTGGATGGTTACCGTAAACCTACTTAGCAAATTTCGCTCGCAATATATAAAATATAGATAAAATATAAGTTAGAGCTTTTTATTTAACCTTGACGCAAATCCCGTCCATTTAGAACCATGATCTAAGGCCATCAACTATGAATATTTATGCTAAGTTTCAGCTTTGTATTTAATATTTTACGACTTTCGGCATTCCAGCAATAAGAAGTGAGACAAGCAGTCAGAGAGAGACAGAGACATGCTTAAGCCGACTCAGAATCGTGCTTGAATATGTGTAAAGTGTAATCTAATGTGTTATGTATATGCTAATATGGGGTCTATCAGTTACAAATGGAAACGTTTATTTCCTAGCCATATCTTTAGCTGATGGATGTAACAAAAAAAACTTAAAATTTAATAAAAAAAATTTGTGGATGAAATTGTTTTCAGCAGGTATTTAAGATAGTATTAAGACATTATATTAGTACATTAAGTACGTTAAGATAGTATAGCATTTTTTATTTTCTCTGTTTAACTTAATGCTCTTTCAAGAGGCTGCAATCTTGTATTATGCATTATTAGTCATTGTACAAAGTACCCTATAGCTACAATTGCTTTTATATAATATATATATAAATATAATTGTTACAATTTCCTCTTACAGCCATTACTTTAGATATTGAACTTTTAAATAATTTAACTTAATTACGGTATCATTGACTCATTGTTGAAAACCTAAGCTAAGCGTACAGCAATATCAAACATGTCTTATTAAACCCTTAATGACGTGCGGATTATCTATTTTTAGCAAACACAATAAAGACAGACAGAGAAAGAGAGAGGGAGAGAGAAATGAGAGAGAGTAAACACTGTATTTTTATCTGAATATATTTGCACTGACACGCCGAGATAAAGGCCATTGTAATATCTAATAGCCATCTCTCGTAAGATTTTCATTTCTTTTTTCTTTCTCTCCTGCAGTCTATGCTATAGCGTGAATTCAATGTGGAAAAAACCAGTTTATAATGAATTATTGAGAAAATTTCAAATAATATGCCACGTCACGCAATACTGATTTGTGGCTTTGTGGGTTGTGTATGCTTGATTATATGCGCTTGTGATTGCTCACAAAACGGGCCTGCAAATTGATTTTTATTTACATCGCGGCAGGATATAAATTTTATTAACATTACTAGAGCAGTATGTATGCGTACATACGTATGACTGTATATATACACATATATAATAATGAATAAAGAAAATGAGTAAATAAAAAAAACAAACAAGACGAAGATATATATATATATATATTTTGATATATATGATATATATATCAAAAGGTTTGACCTTGTTTGCTTCTTTGTTTATTTTCTTTACTTTCTGTTTGCTTGTTAATTATTGCCATGCATTTTGGCCTCAATTTTATTTCACTTAGCTTTTTTACTTAAATGAAAGCATTAAATTTTTATTGTAATAGAAAATAAAATTCCATTCAAACCGAATCTTTAATGTCTCCCGATTAATATGAATAATAAACAAGACATTTTTTTCTTCTCACAAACCCTTTTTTTATAGCTTCAGAGCATGTTTTCATCAAACATCAAATCAAGCAAATATTAGTTTGGGGAAAAAGAAATTCATTATTTTTTCGGTAGATGGCTGCACTGATAGATTTCTCGTAAAGTATCGATCAAAGAATTTCAGATTTATGCTCGTTGGAAAGGTGACGTTTCGCAGTAAAAAAAATTCTTTTGCTGTTTTTTGTTTGGTGCATTCAGTTGTGAGTTACAGCGTGTTAAAAATGGAATGTTAAATAAAGTCCTGAAGTTCATATAAAAATAATGGATTTCTTTTTCCCCAAACTAATATTTGCTAAGCGTTTCATGCTCTGAATAAAAATGTTTCTATTTATCTTTATTGCAAACAAACTGATCGCGAGCCTCGCATTATATATTTCCGTTATTTTCAAAGTTATTTCCTTCGTGGGGGAAGCGTTTAAGAGAGGTTCATCATACATACATACGACATTTTCAGAAAATATGTCAGTCGATCTCTGACTGACTGACATTAGTAAAATATCTTCTTTTCTTGCACATACATGTTAGATGAAAAAGAAATAAAATTAAATTAAAATGAAAATAAACACGAATATTATAATCGGGTAAGGCTGACTATTAAATACCCTACACCACATTGTCTAACACAATTCTCATTTTCATTACAGAACACAAAAATTATATCTTGTTTCTATAAAAAGGCATATTGTTCAAGTGCATATTTACGGGGAAGCAGGCTAAAAACGCGATCTAATGCAGTGCAAGCTTAATCCCAACATAAAATAGATTTTGTACAGGTCACTATTATGGGTCAATTTTCATCATTACATTAAAATTCTTATTAGGATAGGATTAAAAAAATACGCTGAGATGATCGGTATAACCTTTTGTCGCATAAACTTCAGTTTTCATTATAGGACAGGGGGTTCAAAAATTGCGCCAGGAGGTCCAAAATTTTCATGCCAATTTAGAATGCCGAAGTACCACTACTTAGACATTTCTGTCGAGAAATTTTGAAAATTTGCAAATATAAAGACTTTTCAGAATAGGACGATATATGGGGAATGGTCAAGAAAGTTGATCCATCCGAGCCATTTTCAACAGCGTTCGTCCTTGAGTCAAAACACGACACTGTGCCAAATTTCATGAAAATATCTCGAAAATTGCGACCTGCAACTTGAACAATAAACTTAAGCGAACAGACGGACGAACAGGCTTAGATCAATTCAGATTATACTTAAAACCTGCGACCTATTAGTTGAACACAAATTATTCAGGCGGACGAACAACTAGGCTTAAATCGGTATAACAAAAGATAGGCCTATCTTCAGCTGTTCTGAGCGTTACGTATGTCCGCATTAACTTAATATACTCTTTAACACAAGTGGTGTAGGCTAAATGAAAACTGAAAAGAAAAGCAAAGAAGAAGATTACTTTTCACTGTGGCCGAGTAGGAAATTTTTATTTTCTTTCGTGACCGAATCTTTTATACCCATCACAGTGATCCTAACTAGAAAGAAAGAACTAAATTTTCATATTTTATAGCCCTGAATGGGCGTGGCTAGTTTTTTCGATTTTCAGAATAAAATTGGGAAATTTATATGGTGTACGTGTCATTCTTTATGAGTACGGACAGCGAAGGCAGTTTTTGTTGATGCGTATAGACGGAGGCGCTATAGACATGCCCTTCGACAACTTTGGTTGCTTTTTAAATTCTTTTGCAAATTTCGTTTACGAGAGAATGTTTACCACAAATACTACACACTTGCGGGTACAGACGAACCCACAGACATGTTAAAGGGCGTACCAAACTTGAGAATGACCAAAAATGAATAGACTTTATTGGGTTTTGAAGCTTGTTTCTATCAATGTTTTGAGAAAAAAATGAAATTTCGAAACGCTATAAAACTGAGCAGGCGTGGCCAATTCTCTTCATTTTCGTACAGACGCTGCAGCATCGCCTTTAGCGTGTACGTTTAAATTCTTGCAAGCTTCCTTTCTCAATTTTGGTGGTACCTTGTGGCGTGGGCATCCTCTGACCTATCTGGCCTATTTGCAATATCAACCTGCGTGCAAGAACTTACGCTAAATTTGAAATCGATATCTTCAATTTTGTGGCCAGGAGAATGTTTATAATGGACAGACAGACAGACGGGTATGATTAAATCGATTTGAAATTTGAACACTTTGTGAGGTTTGTGAAGGTTCCTTCTCGGCTTCGCAAACGTTTTGACAAAATGAATATATCCCTCTTCAATCGGTGACGGGTATAAAAGAAGCAATTGTCTAAAAGTAATAAAAAGTCGCTATTAAAATATTAAGATATGACGCAGACATAATTTTATAATATTATCTATGAAGTACTTAGCGAGTCGCTAGCACTTACTTTACTTTCGCTCGTCAGTAATAAAATGAAAACATTTAAAAATATAACTTTTATGTCATAAAATATGGATATTAACTGCATAACTTATGTTTACCCCAAAGGCTAATAATGAAAGCAACATTAAAACTGAAGAAAGTCACGTACGCCTGTAGATACATCATTTTTACTCATCGCGTAATTCATATTAATAGATGAAATTTATGCAATATTTTCTTAATGGTAGACAGCCGGTCGATGGTAGTTGCTCTTATATCGATGGCCATAGGCAATATCGATATCAAAATTTATATTGTAGATCACAGTTCTTTGTATAAAATGGCTTTGTTTGTAGACGGGCTATTATATGAAGCTTTTATGGATATATGCGACATGCAAGAGGATTTGACGTAGACTCATCTTTCATAATACCGAAATATTCTAAAATTATTTTCTGAGTCCATCTAAGCTTGTCTGTCCATCTTGTATCCTCTGGTCCATCCTTCAGGTCACAATTTTTGATCTATTTTGATGAAATATAATACATGCACATGGTTTAGACTAAGGACAAAGATTTTGAAAGTGATTCCAACCGGAGACCACTTTTTCGACCATTTCCCATATAAGAGCTTAGTTCGAAAAGTAGTTATATGAATAATTGTCTTAAGCGAAATGGTGTAGGGTTTTAATTGCTGGTTCATTGTCTACTATAGTACCTTCACTTCTTTTACTTCTTATTATATTGTACAAGAACTTCCATCTTTCAAGTCCGTCAAAGTACACATTGATCTGAGGACTATCGCCAAACTTAGGCAACTCTAACTCAATTTGTTATGATTTTTCTTTCTATGTTTGGGCGCATTTTCATTGAAATTTGTATCACATTTCGTGCCAATATTTTTAATAGCCAATGGGATATATTTATATTTATGGAGAAGAAGAAACACTTTTCTATTTTTAAAATAAGTGAAAAATTTGAATTTCCGCCTTCGGATAGGTTCACGAATATTTTCAATCACAAATGTGTAGTCCAAAGAGAGTACCGTATTTTTCGGACGCCTATAAGACGCACCTTTTTACATAGAAATATGGAGTGAAATTTTGGTTGCGTCTTATGGTTTTTTTCAAAAAATCGTCTCTAAATTTGAGATACGTCTTACAGTCCTACAAATATGGTACGTCACTCAAGATGAGTGATGCAAGTTGTTTCAAGACAAGCTGGGGAATCACCTACTTACCTACACTCTTTGTCTATGATTGCCGATAGCTAGGATTAGGCTTAGCCTATAATCGTGTGCGCTTTTGTACGATTCATTTAAATCATTTTATAAATTTGAAGTGCATCTTATCGTCCGGTTGGTCATTTCACAAAAGACGCATGACACACGTTCTATGCGTCTTTCGTTGGCTAGCGCTAAGAACCATTCCAAGGAATTTGAAGATTTCCTCCTCGAAACTCGTCGATTAATAATTTGAAGCTTTTTAAATGTGATGTAAAAAGTGCTTGGGTCAAATAGAATTTCTCTTCCGTTCCCCGATAAAGCGCTGAGGAAAAACATTAGTTCGCACTTTATTTGCGCTTTGCCCAAAATAGAGATCAATTATAGAATCATTCGATCTATGCCCTGCACCACTACAAGATAGTATTAAGTTTATGCGCATACTTACAACATACAAAAGCAGTTGAAATAGATCCATCATTTATTATATTGATCAATTTTGAAAGTAATTCTAAGTTTATGAGTCCGTCTGTCCGCCTTGTTTTCTTGTATTCAAGACGCAGATCAAAATTTGTAAGATATTTTGATGAAATATGGTATACTGACGTGTTTTGAATCGATCCGAGCTTATCAGTCTATGGTTCGCAACGGATCACCTTTCCGACTATCCATATAGTTAGACTAAGTGTGCATTAAACGAAACGGTTTAGAGTATTTAGTGATGTACCGTAATCCACAATAATGTTTTTTACTTGTATGGCTTAAAATCTCAATATTTTCTAGAACGTTATGTCTAAATTTTGTATTTTAACGTATAATGCTTACTCTTTCTTGCAGATACATTTCTCCAATAAATAAATCGAAGCCTTAATAAAATAACATGAGTTCCGCTGAATACTATCCCTTCAAGGTAAATTAATTCAAATTTCTGCATTAAAGACAAATATTTAGGAAATAAATTAATTCAACTCACACACCCCGCCTACATTACTTAGTTATCGAGAACTTACGACAAATGCTTGATTTCTCTCATCTTAAATTTATTAATCATTTTTTATGCGTAATCAGTAAAAAATTTATTTGTTTTTTTTTTTTTTTTTTTTTTTTTTTTGTTACTACTGCTGAATATTAAACACTAGCACTAACACGATAATGTAATTGCTTTGCGTTTATGCGCACTCATTACAAGAAAATATCGAGTCAGTGTCTAGACTTTATTGGTCTATTTATTATTTATTATTTGTTATTACAGATTATCAATTGCATGGGCAATCCATACCCATACCCCATACCACATACCCCATCCCCCATTGTCTTTGCAATCTTTCTTGAAGCATTTTTTTGAATAAGAACCTAAAATTGTAATTATAGCAATACAAAAAAAAAATTTTTTTAAAATTATTTTAAGTTTAAAAAATAAATTTTTTTCAAGAAAGAATTTTTTTTATCGCTATAATTATTTAAAGTATAAAAAAAATATTTTTTTAATTTAAAAAAAAAAAAGTTGGTTAATATATTATGTATAATGTTTTTTGAAATAGTTTTCCAATATTTTTGAAAACAATTTTTTTTTACATTTCATAAACTAGTGCACTCCAACTGTTTATCCAGCCGATCCTTTCGATCCAGTTGAGGATGCCGCCATTTTGCGCAAAGCGATGAAAGGTTTTGGCACTGATGAGAAGGCCATTATTGAGATATTGGCTCGTCGCGGTATAGTGCAACGTCTCGAAATTGCTGAAGCATTTAAGACATCTTACGGCAAAGATTTAATTTCGGATTTAAAATCGGAATTGGGTGGACGTTTCGAGGATGTTATTGTGGCCTTAATGACTCCATTACCTCAATTTTATGCTCAAGAATTGCACGACGCCATTTCGGGCATGGGTACCGATGAGGAAGCGATCATCGAAATACTCTGCACTCTGTCCAATTTTGGCATTAAAACTATTTGTCAATTCTATGAGCAAAGTTTTGGTAAACCGCTAGAATCTGATTTGAAGGGCGATACTTCCGGGCATTTTAAACGTCTATGCGTTTCTTTGGTTCAGGGTAATCGCGATGAAAATCAGGTCAGTTTTGCTACTTATAAATAATCTGTAATAATATGCAAAAGCAAAGTGTCGTCTCTGGAATCGAATAAAAATTAATTTATAATTTATATTATTTGAAAAATGTAGGGTGTTGATGAAGCCGCTGCTGTAGCCGACGCTCAGGCTTTGCATGATGCTGGTGAAGGTCAATGGGGCACGGATGAATCAGTGTTCAATTCAATTTTGGTAACCCGTTCCTATCAACAATTACGGCAGATATTTTTGGAATATGAGAATATTGCCGGCCACGATATTGAAAAAGCCATTAAGAAAGAATTTAGCGGTGCCGTAGAGAAAGGTTTCCTCGCTATTGGTAACTATTATATCTATATATATATATATATTGTCTGCTTTTATGGGAAGAAAATTTTATTGAAAAATATTGTTTGCATAAAATTTCAGTAAAATGTTGCAAATCAAAAGTTGATTACTTTGCTGAACGTTTATATGATTCCATGCATGGTTTAGGGACTAAAGATAAGACTTTAATACGCATCATTGTCAGCCGTTCCGAAATTGATTTGGGTGACATTAAAGAAGCATTCCAAAATAAATATGGTAAAAGCTTGGAATCCTGGATTAAGGTGAGTTTAGATTTTAAATTTTACTTTAGCAATAGCTTTCGGCTATGGGTTTCTGCAATTAATTTATAAATGGTTTTGGATTTCTTCTTAATTCTCGTATTTAGTTTTATATATACTTTAATCTAATGCATGTGTTTTATTATTTATAATGATTTTCGAAAAGATTTAAAATTATTATTCGAATTTATTATCTTCATTAAAATTAAACGTAAAATCATAAAATAGGCTTAACAAGCGCTTTCGAGGTGATCGATAGTTTCTACCTAAATTCATTGAGCAGCTTTTTAACTTGAAATAGAAAATGGCTTAGTTCATCTTAACTCAACATCCAAAAAAAAAAATACATATATACATATATATATGGAAAACATTGAACGTTGATTTTCTTCGTGCTAACAATTATAGATCCAAGCAAGAGGCAAAGATGCTTTTTCAAGAAAATGCTTACTTGTCAACAGTAACAGTTTTTTCAATATCTTTTTACCGTAGGCTCGGCAATATTGTTTTTTAAACCTCATAAATATACGACAGGATTTTGCAAGATTCCACTTTCACCCCCAAAGTAGTTTCTTTCCAGAATGATATAATTAGTCGAACGATACCCTAACAATTAGGTAGTTTTTGTATAGAACGACTCGTTTAGACGCTTAAAAGATGCTCTAGTTTCTAGAATGAATTCACTATTTTTCACTCCAGAGCATCTAACAGCGTCGGCTTCAGTTCTCAATTTCATCCAATTGCATTCTCTGGAACATACTTTTGAGATTTGTCAATAGATAACGGTTGTGGGCTTTAGATCTGGAGATTAGGGTGGGTGTGGCAGTCAACTGCACTTTCATTCAAGTAATATTTTTTCATTATAGCCATTGACTTGCAACTCGGTGTTGTTTTTTTGTTGTAATGCCTAAATCTTAATTTAATATGTGCGAAAAACTGTCCTTTGGACATGATAACGACGAGTATTTGTCAATGCCAACGAACATATTTCCCAACTTGTCTTCACAAATTCCGCTATCCATCATTTATATTTGCAATAGCATCAAGTTTAATTAATTCATGATCTTAGGATTCTGTTAACGGTCTTTACCGGCTTTTTTTTCGACAAGTTCGTATAATTCGTATAAAATTTATAACGTAAGAGTAAGTTTGCTTAGAGGAAAAAATAACTTTAAAAATTCTGCTTGAATTTATATTGGGATGCGTAAACGATACTCCAAAGCAGGAACTATTTCGTCAAACAAAATCCTTCACCGCTACTATTAATAAACCTTTTTCAAGTGGTGACAATGTTTACGGAGAACGTGAAAATGGATTTATCATTACCTCGTGTGTAGGAGTTAATTGTATCCGATTAGCAACAGTTTCCATTTCTTGTGACCGTAGACGTACAGATGCACTTAACAAATCTTCCACTGAAAGAGAAATAGATGCGAACATGTAGACCATCACAAGTGTTTTTCTTAATGCATCGAAAAACCCAGGCAGTTGTGTCAAACTGAAATGAAATTGAGAAATAATTCCTTTCTCACAGTGCACTTCGGCTCTTGACTTTCGACAAAAAATTGCGAATTTTCTAATCTAATGTTCTAATCTAATCTTATGTTAAGTGCGGTGATATTTAAGGGCAACAACACTTTTTCTTAGAAATTTTTCATGTAAATTTTTTTGAAAATTAGATTAGAACTTGAACTGGGGCCTTGATTTTAATAAAATTGTGTTTCCATCCAGCTTTTTCCATAATCAAACCCATTATTCGTTCTTCTTCGGGAAAAATACTTTCAGTGTCGTACAAAGCCTCCTTAAGGGCAGGTCGGAAAATTTTCAGTCAATCTTCTTATAATTTCTAACAGTTTGACTAGTTTCATCATTTTTCGTATTCTTATATATAAATAAATTTTTCTTCTTATTCATGTTCAAGCTATTCTTCGTCTTGGCATCATTACTCTCATTGGATCAGATTGAATGCATTTATATTCATTTATATTCATTTTTTCTGGGTTTCTTGTTGTCTTCAAATTTCCTTTTGAAAAGTCGTTATATGCAAAAAAAAATTCGCTAAGTAATAGTATTACGAGATATTGAACTGCTTTGAAAACTTTGATTAGGCAGAGATAATTTTTTGAATCCATTCTCAAATAATCGTTCCTATAAAAACCGAATGTAATTTTCTTTATCTTATGATAAAAAATAACTTACAATAGCAAATTGACAAAGGAAGTAACCTAATCGAATGTCGACCGCGTTGGCCTATTTTTTGTATATAACTTCATATAAAAATTCTTCCGAAGTGTGCCAAAAATGCCTAATTGTTAAAGTTTTATGACGAACATTTTTTCACGATAGTGAGTTGATATGCAAGTTAAGTGGACCAAAGTTGACCGCATGGCTCTACTTCTTGGATCCCATTCCGTACAAGATTTGCTGATGAGTAGTAAGTAAGCCCTTCAGGGAAAGATTTAAGATTGGTCCGCAGCAGAAATTTAGTAAAAAAATTAACGCTAGGGAATTTGGATCACATATGTCTATTATTAGATTCTAACATATTTGAAAAATAGCCCTTACAGGGGGATAAGATATAAGTTCTAAATTTTCTATGACGGAAAGGGAAAAATAATAAAATTTTTGGCTAGTAAATCAAGTTTGCTAAATTTGGATGATGCATTCTTGAAAAGTATGCCTTTCCATGAAAATGATGCGTACCAAAAATTAGTAAACGAGTAAATAATTGTTCTAAGCGAAGGGTGTTTAAGGATCGATCCTGGCCGGCTGTCACATTTTTACTTCTCAACAGTGTCAATCGGACGTAATAGCCCGTCTGTCACACACGTCCCGCCTGTCCGTCGTCTATCGATATTCAAATATCAATTTTTCATAATTTGAAAACTTCGGCTAAAAATTTGCAAAATTTTTCTAATTTTTTAAAGTTCATTTTATCTGGTTCGGTTAATTATTAAAGAGCAGTTTATTACTAAAGAATTGTTCTCGTATTGAGTTATTTTTTGATTGAATTTTTTTAAAAAAATAAAATTTATTATTGATTTTTATTTCAATTTTCATTTTCGTTTATTAAAAAAAAAAAACCAACAAATTGAATTTTTGCAGGGCGATACTTCTGGGGATTACAAACGAGCCCTATTGGCGATTGTTGGATATTAAAGTAAAAAATTGAAAGCATAATCTCACAACGTATACTAATTAAAAAAAAAAAAAAAACCAGTATCTGCCTTTTTTCTTAAATCTCAAAAACAACAAGAAACAATTATTTATAATACGATACTTTTTATACAAATATTCAAAAAAAAAATTTTTTTTATAAATTTGTTATGGGTTCAAGTAGAAAAAGCTTCAGACAAGAAACAAAAAAAGAACAAAAAAAAAAGTAAAAGCATATATTTTAGCACTTATTGCAATATATTTTGTATGAATCAAGAGAAGAATAACGTGTACGTTAACCATATAAACACATTTTATATATTCCTCTGCTCATGGATCATTGTCATCACAAACTCCCTGTAAAATTTACCACGCAAATATAAATTTTGTTTAAGCTATTTTTCTTTTTATTTTATTTTATATGTATTAAAATTAAAATTTTGGTCTTGTAAAGAGTCCAGCAATTAAAATGAAATAAAATTAAATCTTTTTTTTCTTTTTTACATCTAAAGTTTGAAATGAAATTTGCCAAATTAATATCAGCGCGAAGCAGAACGTATTGATAAAAGTAGTTTGTTAAGGTGACCATGTCTTTTTTTTATGCCAGAAAAAGAACTTAATTTTCATTAGATGGGCGATGTGTTTGAAGTATTGGAAAGAAAAGAATATATATTTACAAACGGATGGAAACATTCCTCCAATGATCACTATCCATAAACAGCCTAATTTTACTTAAACCATAGCATGTACTGAAATAATTGTAAATATTACCGCCAATAAGCTATGGAATTGTGGTATTCTCCTGTGATTGCCATCTACGCACGAGTATTTACCTTATAAGAGTATTGTACTATGTAGCAAACTGTGACGGCCGAGTAGACAAAGAATCTCGACTAACAAGTCAATGGTTGTGGATTCAAATCTCAAAAATCTCGGGTGCGGTAGAGTTTTTAAAAAAGTCGATAGCTTTGGATGCTAGTGTTTTAAAGGTTTTAGTCTTAGAATTTATTTCTATGCGTAAATTCATAAAAATAATAAACATTAAAAAGAATAATATCGGCCTGAATGGACTTGCAGACAAAGATTCCCGACTAATATCTCAATGGTCGTGGGTTCAAAACTCAAGAGCGGTAGTGTTTTTTAAAAAGTCGATAGCCATAGATGCGAGCGCTTTAGAGGCTTTAGTCTTAGAATTTATATGTATGTCTAAATTAATAATAAAAAAAAAATAAATAAATAAATAAAGCAATCAGTTGTTCAGTTATACACTTCTTAAACAAAGACTGAGGGCAGATGAATGCATTGCCAATGGCAGGAGGAATAAATATTCATTGCTAAAAGATAGAAAAGAAAAAGTATTGAATCCTGTAAAGAATGCAATTTTATGCCATGATCTATGCAAATGACCCGAAAACAGCCGACTAATGCGACGGACATCATATAAAAGATGAACCAAGATGATCTTCCGGTCAGTGGCGTAATCGCAAAAAATCCTGCAAAAGAACGCAAGGGATGGCCATTAATTTTCAGATTTCCTATGGTTTTTGCATACAACAATTTTACCAATTTTCACGAAAAACTTGCAAAACTTCTTAGAGAAGTACATCTGGTCACCTTAATTATATGTTCAGCACTTATATAACCTATGCATGCTTAAGCAAAACCTCTTTCAATACTAACTAAATGTAAAAGTATGCGAGATATGCATGAACAGCGCACTATTTTGCTTACTTTCTCTAGTGCTCTTGCAATATTTATGTTTATAATGCATTTTACTTTAGGATTAGTTGTTAATTAATAGCACAACGACACCCACACACGCCATTCGTTTCATTCAATTTTTTTAAAGCTTTCTCTAACATTTTGTGTGGCTTAATTACGCTGACAAAAAAAATAAATGAAATCAAAATAAAATTCTAACAATTTCGTTACACATTCAGAAAAAAAAAACACTTGAACACTTTCAAAAAAAAATAAAAAATATTTTCCACTTATTTTATATATACATATATATATAACAACATAAATGAATAACTTCAATACCTTCAAAAACATTAAGAAAAATTTGTTTTTTTTTTTTTTTATTTCTTTTTTCTCTTCTTTCCTTCTTTTTGTTTCTTTTTTCTATATTGAAACAAATAACTCACTCACTGTCGCAGGACGATTCGCAATCTGAGATCGGTTACTTGCTAGTAACAATGGTGGCTTATTAAATTTATATAAAATCCAAGCAGAGAACATAACTACTTCCACTCATAGTAGCCAAAAATTTTTCTTTGATTTGATATTCTTCATAAACACTAATTGAATGACATCAATATTATGTGAATGTATTTAATTTGTAATGAAATGTGTTACGAATTCTCTTCTTTTTTTTCCAACTTTATTATATTTTTATTATGTGTAATATATATATATATATATTTATAAAAATACATATTTTTATATAAAAAAAAAAAAAAAAAAAAAGTGCCAATTTATTTTTGTATTTATTCGCTTAATTTAATAAAATAAAGCTCTCTTAAGCATTTTTAAAGCTATAATTATGACTTAGATTAGTATAGACTTTGTTCACCAAAACATTGTAAAAGGATATAATGCTGTGAGCAAAAACTAAGGTCATCGGATGAAATTATGAAATAATTTTTTTGCGGAGCATTTACATGTAGAGGAAGACTTCTGTCTAAATACACAAGTGGGTTGTTCGATTTTAACTATGACTTATGACTACCAGGACGCCATAAAAGGGATTATTATTTTTTTTTTTATTACACGAACTCAGGGAATGTCTCCTATGAGGGTAACACGATGACGGTCAAAAAGAAGTAAGGAAGGAAGAAGAAGAAGGGTCAATACACAAGTGAGTTGTTCGATTTTTACTATGCCTATGAAAGGATGACTTATGACTACCAAGACTCCTTGAAACGCATCAATTTTTCTTTTTTTATATGACCAATTACTCACGGGATGTCTCCTATGCGAGTAATATGGTGGCGGTCAGGAAAATATTAGGAAAGAGAGAGAGATAGGTTGGTTGCTGACGGCAGTGGGTGTGCAAGCAATCGGTAAGTGTTAAGCGAAGCCATAAAGATCGACTGACCTACTGTGCATTCGCTACAGTTACGGCCAAAGGAAACTCTACTGGACTGAGGTTTGAATCTTCCCCTTTATTCACTTAATAGTCGAGGGGTTTACCTACTTGCCCATTCAGACGGACCAACGGATGATGAGACTTGGATCTGTGCATATGACCCGAAAACAACCGACCAATGCGGCGGACTTCACACAAAAGTTGAACCAACACCGGAAGACCGGTACCGAAGTCGCTCAAAAGTTGAAATCATGTACGCGATCTTGTGCATTATGAATTTCTTCCGTTCAAATGAACCTTTTTAATGAGGAGCTTGAGTATTATGAAGACGAACAAGCCTATGAAATTGATTTGGATGAAAAATAAAAAATTTTTTTATTTTATAAACAAATTCAATTTATTTTCTATTAACAGTAGTCAAATTTTTATAGTATCATTGTCACACATACCCATCGTAGATGAAATATCGTAAAACTGTTCATTAGCTTCTATCTTTGATCTTTTAAAAAACATTGAGACTGCGTTAAAAAAAAAGTGCTCATGTCCGTATCATCCGCCAATCGCGCCGCATTAAATTACATGATCAATAGAGAAACAAAGGGATCTGGTAGAGTTCATCTTATCACATAACACACCCTTGACATTGTTCTCAAAAGCGGACAATAAGTGACCATAAATTCACTCAACATATTATGCAGAACTGTGACGTGCCAGGCATCCACAGGCTTGATCCAACATCTCTTGACTCAAAATATTTTGTTTTTGAAAATAAGCAATCTAAGCTTATGTTGGTGGCGGATATCTTGCATATTGACTTTGTTCCATAGGGCGTACTTTGTGTATCTAGTGAAAGTTGACATTTGTGTAAAGATTTTAAGAAAATATTCGCCTAATGTGAGAGAAAAATTTTTATCAACAAATTCATTTCGTTTTTTTGAGTGAAAGTAGGCCGTAACCTCATAAATCGCATCGTGAGCACTATCGGACTGCGACGTAAGTAAAATGTAAATCAGACATAATTTGTAAAATATCATCTCTGGAAATTTTGCTACCCCTAAGGGTTTTCCTTTTCACCGACCGGTTATTAGCGATATCGGAGAAGTGGAAACTTCGTTCGAATCTGTGCAAATCGAATATAACCTCAATATTCGGTTGCTTAAAATGAATTGGATTTTATCTGCGGGCTTACGCATAGATTCACTAAAGTAAAGACATGCAATATAAAGAAGTTCGTAAAAAGAGCCCTCATCTCCTGAATAGTAGGTGGGTTGGGTGAAAAAGGTTTTAACGCATAACTCAAATTGTACGAATTTCTTACGAAATTGCTTACGTAATGTGTATAGAAAAAAATTCCACTTTCTCTGTTGGTTTTTGCAAACTAACTTTTCTTTATCTTTCACATAGCATTATTTAATTTACATTTTCGGCAGTTAAAGGGATTTCATATTTTTTCACATAATAATAATGCGTTCAAAAAGTGAAATCAATATACATGTTAAATTGCGCGAATATATCGAATAACAGAAATATTTTTTTCACTGGGAGAGGTATCTGTGTTCAAAAGGTAAGACCGGTTAAATTGGTTGGATATATATCGTATATCAGAAATATTTTTTGACTAAATTGATGGCACTGTAGCAGACATCTCTTCCAAATTTCTGTATAGGTGACGGGCAGTAAGAAGTATTCGATTAAAATCGAATAAAAATTTTTCTTCTCTTATCTTAAATTTTTTCAAAAATTTTTGTTTTTCTTAAATTTTTTTCTTACAGGAAGATTTATCGGGCGATTATTGTAAAGTCTTGGTTGCTTTAGCTTCTTACTGATGTAATTCGGAAAAAATTGAACAAAAAATTTTATTTCAATTAGTTGATGTAATGTGTAAGAATAAAAACACTTATAGTGATCGTTTAATTTAAATTTAATTTAATTGAAAATAAAAAAAAAAACTTTCTCTTTGGCATTTATTTAATTTAAAGTGTAGTTGCAGTGTAAGTTGATTGCAGATATTCTTATGAATTTTCCACAAAAAGGCTGATACATATTTGAAAATATCGGTTATGGGGACTAAGCATTGATTGATATTTTATGCCTATTTATCCGTAAGTATTGTTTGCTCGAGTAAACGACTCTTTCGGTCCCAAATATAATTTAGAAGAGAGACGTATCGCCTAATTTAACACTAGATTTACGGCATGCGCCAATTCGGCGGGTTTTATCCAATTAATTGGTCAGATTGACCTGCATGTTTGGCATAAAAATTGTCCCGTTCGATTAAGTACGCTCACAATTAACTATTAAATAGCTGAACTAGCATTTATAGACCAAAGTTCTTTGAATCGGTTCGATCATGTCCGTCTGTCCATCTGTGTAATGTCTATTATAAGCATTCTCCTGATCGTAAAAATGAAGCTCAAACTTGGCAGAAACATTAGAATTTCTTGCATGCAGGTTTGTATTGGAAATGAACAAAATCGATCGAAGGACAAGCATATAGTATCATGTAAACTGGGAACATCTCTATTTTCCAAAAGTAAAGAAAAATTGGTTTTGTTGCTTATTACCTATAAACTGCAGCAGATAAATCTATAAAAATTTGAACGTTTACTCTATGGGCTATGCTCCATTACCCGTAAAAGAATAGGGCAAAATTGACCATGCCTATAAAATATTATAGAGTACCAATATTTCCTTTTTTTTTTGAATACCTGTAAAGAAGAAGCAAGCTTTAAAGCCTCTATAAACTATGCACCAAAGCATGTCCGCATGTCGTTCGTCTGCCCATCTGTCCGTCTGTCAAACTGTGTAGTATCTGTGGTTCTCGCGTTAGCGAAAATGAGGATATCGCCTATGTATTGGCAAAAGAATTTCAAGATGATCCAAATTGGTCAAAGGATACGACTACAACACCGACACATCTATGCAACAAAAATTATGAGTACCTTTGTTTTCCGTATTTTTGCTCGTTACTCAGATCCACGATATAAACTTCTAAAAGGTCATCCACTGTCCCTTGATATTATAGAGTAAGGTAATTCAGTTTTTTTCTTCTTTTTTTTCGTTTTTCTTAGGATAATGATGATGGATATAAAATATCCGGCCTTGCTTCTTCTCATTGAGTTTGCCTTTACAGAGCGCATATCGTAAGCGTCGAAATTCGTTTAGTGGTGGAACTTTTTTCATAGTAGAAACAAATGCACCTGGAATGTGTAAGACAGATGATATCCCGGAGTATGCTGAAGTATTTATTAGACTTATGATTTCGTGTGATTTGTGTCGCTTCTGTTAAATCGTTGAACTCAAAATGGATACTTGCGATATGACGGGGCAGCATCATCTCTACATCTGAAGCCTAGTGCCTTTTCCAGTCATTTATATGATTTCATCCTTGTCTAGGGGAGTGCTAACTTGCTCTCCTTTCAATCTGCGCTTGTCGAAGCCTGATGGTGGAAGCAAGCGCATTTTTCGTTCCCCTCTTTGAACGGATGTAGTTGATCAATTTGTGAGCCCTGACTGCTTGGGTGCGGCCCTTCGGCGAGTATTCGTGGTGGTTATGGTTACACTGTTCCAAGCCAACGTGGAAGAAATCGAGTGCAGCTAGGTCTCAACACTGACCAGGGTGGGTTTATTAATCCATACACAACAAACAATCTGGACTCTGGTGCTGTTTAGGCCCCTAGTTTATAGGAATTGTCTAACTCGCCAGAGGGCGTGGGTTACGCTTAATAGCCCCCGTGGCATGGGCCACCGTGACGTTAAGCCTTACTGGCAGGAATTTACGTTAAACCTATGCTGCAATTTCTACCTCTGAAGCCTCTGAACGTGTTTGGTGGGCTTCGGCAACAGATTTCTTCAAATACATCACTAAAGCAAGGTCAAAATCATCGAATTCAATATGTTATGTACACTGGTATTTCCCATTTCTTTATCATATTTACATGTATGTAGAAGTTAAGTTGTTGATCAAAATTCTTGCAAACACTTAATAATAAATAACCTTTACGAAGATGTGAAACTTTGCTGTGGAATAGTAAAGCGACACGATCACGGAATGCAAACATCTTCATCTTCACCTTGTGCATTTTGCATTAGGCGTACGATGTCTCATTGAGGGATGTATGTAGCCCTTGCACTTAGTGAGAATATAAACTAAATTGGCAACCATGGTATGAGACTGAATACATGCAAGCGTACACATATGTGCATATGCTTTACATTCGTGTGCGTGAAATGAGAAGTTTCCGGTATTTGTATAGGGATGATGAATGTTGTATTTTTTTTTTTGTTTTGTTTTTTTTTTTTTTATAACTTTACTGTGAACTTTAGTACATAGTGTTTAGATAATGGTAAGAGAATAATTTTGGGAAAGAGAAAAAATAACTGTATTTTATAATACATATACTCATATGTGCGCATTTGAATTTTTGTTTTAGTATGAGATAGACAGTAGAGTGCGATATATATAAGCGGAAAGTTATTAGTTTGATATCGGCCCTTCGGCTTAGTTGTTAGTCGCTATTTTACGTGTTTCGGTTGTGTTGTGTTATACTGGTTGACTTCTTCTTCTTCATATTTCTTTACTCTTCAGTATACACATATATATATATATATATAAATTTAATTGAGTGTACTTTTATGTGCATACGTAGTGTAATAACCACCTAAAGTTCAAAGCTACTAAGGCTAGCTATCTAAAAAAAGAGTTGACGATTATGTTGTTGAGCCTCATCATGTTTATGTGTATATGTGTACATGTGTATGAGAATACATATTCTTGAATATATATAGATAGATAGGTTATGGTTGTGCCTTGTGTTGTTTTGCTCTCATCATTATTATCATTCATCATCATGTGCATATGTTGTTGTTGCTATTATTATTATTGCTATTTTGTATTCAAAGAAACCGAAAGTTAAAATATATACCGTTACGTTTGCATTATTATAAAACTCTCTCCCAAACTGAGTAATGGTCACAGAATTCATGAGAACCTAGTCATCCCCATTTTCTCACTTTTTTTTGCTCTGTTGCTTGCCCCTTACTCTCTTTCGCTCTTCTTCTACCTGAGGTGTGTAAGTGTGTGTGTGTGCGGGTGAGTGCCTTTTTCCTCTTCTTTTTTTTTCTTTTTCCTTGCATATATATATATGCATATATATATACACACATATATATATATATATATGGTATGTTAGATTATCATAGCGACTAAAAACTCAGACATAGTGATTTTATTCATTAGTAATAAAACTTCACAGTTCGCGTTTACATATGCAAAAGAATAATGCATTCGTTTAAAAATAAAGATTTGTATTGATGTTTAAAAACACACATATATATATATATAAATATATCCATAATTTTTTACTTTATTGATAGGAGTGTGTAGTGTGTGTTATTTGTGTGTGCTTTATTAACTCACTATATTAAACTTAAACATATTTTAATTAATGATTGCACAAAAATTTATCCATCATCCATATATATATATATATTATAATACCTACCAGTCACGAAAAAAATAAAATAAATAAATAAATAAAATAAAAATAAATAAAAATATCAACCATAGCCGCCGCCAACAGACAGTAAAACGTAGACAGTTAAACCAATAATAACAGCAATATTATCAGTGTTATTGTCGTCGCTTTCTTTGTTATTATTATCGTCCTTTTTCATTTACATTATTGTTGGGCTTGTTGTCGATATCATGTCGTTGTCGTTGTAGTGGCAAACTTTTATATGAAAAAATGAAAGTTTTCTTCTATCTCGTCGCACATAACGGGATTTGCTTTCACTATAACTTTTACTTGGTAAAATCGTTTACTATACCAGCTGTAGTGTTTCTAGTGTATGCATGTGTAAGTTTCTATATATATATATATGAAAGGAAAAACATTTACTTAATAACGTCATCATATCATTGCTTGCTTGTCCACCAGGTTCATGCAGTAAGGACCAATTTGCTTGTTTTTTTTTTTTTTTTTTTTTTTGAATACTTCTTGGTTTCAAATTAAATTTTCTACTAACATCGGTAACATTAGTAATAATATATAAAAAAAAAAAAAAAAAAAACAAAAATATTCCAAATATAACGGCATTTCTAAAAAAAGTGTAATGATGAATTTCTCGGCATTTGGCGGACCATTCTCCGGTATACATCAATTTGCTGCCAAATTTGGCCATGAAACGCAAACACCGGGTGCTTTTACAACGCCCGGCATTAATGGCAATGTCTCCGCGGCTACACCGGATAATCATGTACAACGGTATCAAACAAATGGCAATCATTTTCAGCAAAACAATCCAAATGGTAAGTAAGACTAACACCGTATGAGGTCATAAGAGAGTAAATTTTCGATGTCAAGTTTAAGGAAACCAAAAAAGAGAAGATTTAAACTCTAAAATCAAATCATTAAATAACCTTCGTGTTTGATTTTTTTCTTTCATACTTCGCCACATATGTTTTTTTGAGAAAATTTTCCATTTAAAATGTGAGTCTAAGCATATTTCAACACATATATCCAAGTCCAGCGAGCAAGAAAGGATTTCATTTGGTTAAATTCTTTAAGTTGGACCGTTCACTGTTTCATTAGCAGCCTTCCAAATAGGAGTCTTTATACTTTTATGCTCTACCAGTTTATAAGATCTCGAAAGTCATTTTCATTTAAATTTTTGTAATCCATGCTAAAGCATTGCTGCACATTAGATTTGACTTCCTGTTTATAGAAACCCCCTGGATATCCTGGATAAGCCTCAGATAAATATATGTCGGCAAAGGCTCTTGATGCACGTTCGGTTTGACTTCCTATTTATAGAAATCATTTGATATTCTTGATAAGCCTTGGATAAACGTATGTCGATAAAGCCGCTTGGTGCACATTAGGTTTGACTCCCTGGATATACTGGATATAAAAATCCATTGATATCCTTGATAAACCTTGGACATACGTATGTCGATAAAGCCGCGTGGTGCACATTAGGGTTGACTTTCTGTTTATAAAAACTCCCTGGATATCGTGGATAGGCTTTGGATAAACGTATGTCGATAAAGCCCCTTGATCCACATTAGGTTTGACTTCCTATTTATAAAAGTCCCTTGGTATCCTTGATAAGCCTTGGATACACGTATGTCGATAAAGCTACTTGGTGCACATTAGGTTTGACTTCCTGGATATTCTGGATATAAAAATCCCTTGATATCCTTAATAAGCCTTGGACAAACGTATGTCCATAAAGCCGCTTGGTGCACATTAGGGTTGACTTCCTGTTTATAAAAACCCCCTGGATATCCTGGATAGGCCTTGGATAAATGTGTGTAGGCAAAGGCTCTTGATGCACGTTCGGTTTGACTTCCTATTTATAGAAATTATTTGATATTCTTGATAAGCCTTGGACAAACGTATGCCGATTAAGCCCCTTTTAGCCTGTTTCTTATTGATGGAAAGCGGGCAATCAAAAAATTTGAGATACGAACCTGAAACTTGACGATCTCAGATAATTTTAAACTATGAGCGTGATACCTTCACAAAGTACAAGAAGTCGCAATTTATAAAGGTTTATAACAATTATTTAAAGCTTCAACCCGGTCAAAACCAATCAGCGTTTCAATGAAATATAAACAATTCTCATCAGGATACTACAATTTCGGAAAATGATGTTCGCCTTTGACTGTCGATTGTGTTTTCACTCGTACATCTTAAAAAAAGCGAACATAATGACATTTCAATACTCTGTAGTGTTGGACGGGCTTGGCCGCAATGATTCTGGGATTATTTGCAACAGGGTTGGGCAACTTTTTCCCGTCAAGGGGCCAAAATTTTAATTTTCATGCCACGGCGACAGCCAGAAAGAACAAGGTCTAATAGTAAAGATGGATGCAATTCATTTCCAGTATTGCTATGACCAAGAAAATTGAATTATTTGTAATTTTAAACGTATCGGGTCAAGTTCGACGACATCACGGGTCGGAGGTTGTCCATGGTCGGTTACCCCGATAGCGTACAGCATGACGTTAGTTCTTATTTATAACGATAAGTTATGAAATTAATGGGCGTCCAGAGGATCAGGTCGCCTAAAAGTAGGATTGATTTTGGTACAAACATGCACTGCCCATCTGACTTTCGGAGCGCATACCTTATTACCTGACTGCTGCGTACGGCATAACGGTGCGATTACCCTGAAATTTTGTGGGGAACGAACAAAGAGGTGTCTATTTCTGTGTCTCATGATAGTAGGGCTCCCTTCAATGGCGATTATCCTACTTCTTGGGAGCGTTGGTTATCGCTTGTCAAAGTAACTCATGTGCTATCATGGGCCGTCAAATTAAGCTCTCAAGGTAAGAATTCGCATAGGAGGAAAGAAATATAGGTAGGGAGGAGGTGCTCGCGGCCAAGTGGGTGTGCGTCAAACGTATGACTTTATCGACTGACGACACATTATAGCTATGAACAAAATAAACTCTACCACATTTAAGATTTGAACACACGAACGACGACTTAGTAGTCGAAATTTTTATCAATTCGACTGCCTATGCGGGCCATTTGAAACTAGTATGTGTATACTAAAATTTTGACCAACTGGGAATTGGGATTATTTTCGCATGAAAGTTTTAAAGAATTTTGGAAAATGTTTGCACCGATTACTAATTCATATGACTGTAATAACGAATCGTTTTGGATCGATGTTTGCTATTGCTTCGCAAGTGTAGCTCATAGGTTTTCATTCAGGTCCCTTATTTTGACGTAAAAGTCTCTTTGTTTAAGTTTTACTTTCCATTTCAATTTTTGCTCATATGGGTAAGTAAAAAGTAGATGGATAGATGGACGGATGATGGTAATGGCTGCAACGAATCAATAACATATGTGTGCTAACTATAACATACTTTATTGAATCGATGTGTGTGTTAACTTTCAGATTATGACTATTATAAGCGTTGGTTTTAATGATTTCGCTTTTTAGCGAACTTATTTCTTAAGTATAAAATTCGTTTTACGATTGTGGGGTTGTCGTAGACCTTTGGGATCGTCAGCAAAGAGTCGTGTATCAAACTGGAATTTCTTAGCCCATTTTTTTGCGATTGGGAATGTTATTATTGTAGGTGGACAGATGGACAGACCAGCAAAAGGAAATAGGGACAATGGCTGAACAATTCATATAACGTTTATTTATATCATAGAGCCGCTAAGGTATTGAAAATATTTCTTTCACTTTAATGTTTGGTGACATTTCTTGCTTGTTTTCATATTTCATCCGTAATTATCTGAGAAGAATAAGTCAACTTGTTGCCTTTTATATAAATATTTACGCTTGCGAATATTAATATAACAGATAGAGGGATTATGTGACAACGGGAGATCGTCGCAGCCATTCAAGAATGTGTACATTTTTGCGAACACATATATTATAGAATGAATATATGTACGATATATTGATGTTTCATTTAAAATAATTCATCTGTAGTCTACTTGTAAACTTAATATGTAGTCATTATTCCAAGCCACGGCTTGATATCGCAGCTTTTGTCAACAAGCCAGTGCTACAACAATAGACGGATTAAGTAACAACGGAAATAATTACAAAGCTTTAAGAACATATATAATATAAAATATATATTCATTCGATCGATGATTGCTTAGTGGACGGATTATTGAGCGTAAGGCTCATGCGGAGTCTGAAAACTCAAATTTGATTTGTGGCGATTAATTAAAAATCTTTTATACCCTCTATTCCTTTACACCTTTATTCTACAAAAGGCAAAGAAAATGAAAGAAGTAAATTTTCATGCTCCATAGCATGAAGTGGGTGCGGCTCATTTTTTCTTTTTTTCAAAACAAAAATAGATATTTGAATGGTGTATTTGCTGCACTTTACGCGTAACAAACAAAAGCCGTGGAAAGCAAAAATGTTCACATTTTTTGTTGCATAGTTATGTGGGCATTGTAAGCGTTGCCTTTGATCGGTGTGCAATAAGTTAATTTTCGCTAGTGGGAGAATGTTTACCACAATTACTACACAATTGTGCAGATAGACAGATGGACAGACAACGTTTAGGTGCATTCCAAATTTGAGAATGGCGAAGGATTTATGCACCTTATGAGCTTTTTGAAGCTTGCATCTGGGCATTAGAAAGGAATAGAAAAAAGTAATTGAATTTTGATACACTATCGTGTTGGTTAGGTTAAGGGTTAATTTTTTCCATTTCTGTACATGTGCTTTAGCATCGCTTATAGAATCTGCTTTCAAATTTTTGCCCATTTATTTGTTATAATTTTTGAGTAATGAGCAAAAAATCAATTAAATGCTTAGGTTATGTGGTGCTGTGTCCTTTGACCGACTAGGCCCATTTTCAATACCAACCAGTGTGCAAGAACGCCTAATGTTTCTGCCGAAATTGAAGTGGCCAGTTTTATTTTTGCGGCTACGGGAATGTTTCAAATAGACATTACACAGACGGACAGACGGACAGACGGACAGGCTTAAATCGTTTTAGAACTTGATGCTGATCAAGAATAGATATGTTTTGGGGTTCGCTGATCTTTCCATCGGGGCGTTGCGAACGTTTTCACAGAATGAATATACTACTCGTCCTTTGGTGATGGGTACAATAAGGATGGACGCCCTTAAGTTGAGACAACTATTGCCACAAATTTCAGCAATGTATGCTCTTTAGTTTAGTTTAGAAGAGGAAGTAGTTTTCTTAGTTGCACACTTTTGTAGACTGATGCTGTGTTTTCTTAAACTTAACAGGTTAGATTAATTAAGAAAGTCTTACGTTGTAGCAATCTCGGCGTTTGTGTTCCAACTACAAAAGGTCGGGTGGATGGACTGCTAAACGGAAATAAATACAAAGCAGCAAGAATATTTACATTTTAGAGTAATGCAGGGAAAATTGATGTTTGCTTAATTGACACTTTTGTGGACTCATAGCACACAATCCTGCGTGAATTTTTTCTCTTGGTGCATGAGCTGAAGAAATGAGTTCTCAACGGCACATTTGTCCCGTGTCAGTGGCATTACGCCATTCGCCATCTATAGTCTGCTTGGTAAATCTGTCCTTCCCACAAATTTTATGTGCCCTTCCCTTCACAGGACCACTGTCAGGAGACTGATTGCAGTTAGCGCTCTACAGCTGGTGAGATCTTGATGGATTCTCTTATTGATTTCCATAGAATAACGTCGAAGACCAAGACGAGCGCTCGTCTGTGCATGTGCGTGCGTGTATGTACTTGTTCTTAATAGAAAAATTCCCGAAATTTTTTGATCACAATAGTAAATTATAAATACTCTGAAGAATGCTTCTTATGTGTTACA